TAATATTATCCATACATAAACTAAGAATCAAAAATAAAAAACAAAATAAAAATTAACCTTAAAGGCAGATAGGTAATGTAACTACTTAAATTTTAGTAATTTTCCATAAATTACTAAAATTAGTAATTTATGGAAAATTATCTACAGTCCTAGTAGAATAGATCTTCACAAAACAGAAACTGCTCCTCAATGGAAGGTTACCAAGATTCTGATGAAAAATCCAGCAATGAGCAGCTTAACTTTTCTGGCAACATTTGGTAATGTCATCTGTTATCATATTTTATATTAAAAACTTTTTATATTTTTAACTATTATAAAAGCTTAATTTTCATGGTAGGCATGGGTTTTATAAAGAAAATAGTAAATACTAATAATGAGTAAAATTGTCATTAAGTCCGACCCTACTGGAGATACACATGACCCTCATTATGTCCCCACCCCTCAACCTTTAACCACCAAAATTTAATAGCATCAATCCCCTAATAAACAAACTTCCCTGCAAAATTTCAGAAATTTTCAACGAAATGCACAGGCATAATAATATTAAGCTTCGAAGAGGGTGAACAAAATCATGCTCCCAATACACAAACATCCATACATACAGTAAATGCCCCTAAAATTTTTGCATTTCTCAACATTTCAAGGTGTCCTGAGCCCAAAAGTGTAAAAATTTTGAGGGTTTTTTTTTACCAATCACCATACTTTCCTAGCTGTTATATATAATAGCCAGGAAAGTAAAAATACAAGATATTTGCCACTTAGAATGGCTGAAGAGTTGACCATCACTACTGCCAAACTTTCAATCATAAATTAAAGAAGAGAAGGAAATGAATTAGATCCTTGGGTATGACTTCCCTACAATCACAAACCTGCCATTGAAAACTCAAGATTAAGCTTCTCTCCAAGTCTTCAGCTATTTATATTGTACAAACTTCTATAATAAAATAAAGACACTGAGTTCAGCGTAACATGCATATGTTTTCTATTGCAAGTACTTTCAACAAACTTATAGTCATCGTCCTCAGGCGAATACAGAGGTTTACCGAAAAATTAAACGGAAAGCTTGTTCGGTTTTCGAATTATATTTGAAGATTATATTTGAATATTTGCTTCGTGTTCTTAATGGCTTTGACAAAGTTTCAATTTATATTTTATACGTAATATTCTACATCGGATTATTTCCATTTAATTTTTCGGTAAACCTCTGTATTCGCCTCAGGACGACGACTATAAGTTCGTCGAAAGTGCTTGCAATAAAAAACATATGCATGTAACGCTGAACTCAGTGTCTTTATTTTATTATACAATATTTTGGCATGAGAGTCATCCTATTGATTATAGAGTACAAACTTCTGTAGTAGGCCTCACTGACAAATGTATTTTAACAATCTTAATGTCTGTGCATACTACTGAATAACATTTTCTTTTACTGCTTTTTTTATTCTTATTTTATGTTTTTTTTGCCATTTTCAGTTATGTTACCTGTCTTTTATTTTAGTTTAATTTGTATTTTGTTTTTTATTTTTGTTTCTTAGTTAATGAATGGACATTATTATTTCATGTTTATTATAAGTTTTGTATTTACTTCAAGTGCTGTTAATTTTAAAATATCTATTAATTTGTTAAAGAAATGTTTGTTCATATTTGTAATGATGGTTGATTAGATTCAAAAAGTTATCTATAAACAGTTGTTTCACTCAAATTGTCAGGACATTGAATTTTGATTTGAAGATGAAATTGAAAATCCTAAGAAGCGTTTAATCCAAATAAATGTCCTGACTCCTTTAATTATTTCAAGTGTCTCTTTCTAACAGTGACAATAATACAGTAATAAAAATATAGCTGTTAAATATGAAATCATGGCTTTAGAAATTCACTAGTTAATCTACATAATTGAAGGACAATAAGCATGAATAATTTGAAAAAAAAAACAAAAAATTATGTTGTCTTCAAATGAAGATCAAATAGTTTTTCTAAAGCAGTATATGACTAAAATTAGTTAATTTTTTTAATATGGAATGTAAAAACATTAATATTTAAATAAATGAATAAAAAAACTGTTTTGTAGTTTAAAGGTACACAAATTTTTTATAATTAATATAAATTTATGAAAAATTTTCAAAATAATACTTTCACTTTTGTTTTTTTAATCAACTAGTTAAATAAATAAAAATCATAGCTATAATAATTAAAATATTTCAACAAAATGTAAGGAAATATTTCAAAAATTAATAAATTTTTCTTTTTTGTAATTTTAGAATTATAATTTTTACCCTGACTTCCCTAAACCTGTTACCAACGCACAACGCATATAATATATAAACAGCGGGTGACAAACGTTTTCAAACTATCTCACAGTTCTTCCTCAGGTCAACTAAACTAGCTTAGGAATGTTTCTGAACGAAGCATGTGGAATTCAACGGGATTGAATGTCATTTCAACGAAGTCAGTCTTGCTTGACATGTGCAGTCATGAGCTGGTGGAGGTAGCCATGGGTCAGCATCTAATAGGGAATGCCAGGCCAGCGACAGATTTAGCTCCTCCTTCCGGCTGGCACATGTGGCCACCAGGACCACCTTAAATGGCTAGAATACATAGCCACTTATAAAGCCAGCCAAGTAGCCACATGTGTCAACCAAAAGGAGGGCTGTTGCTGGCCTGGCAGTCCCTATTAAATGCCGACCCATGGCTACCTCCACCAGCTCATGACTATGCATGTCAAGCTAAACTGACTTCGTTGAAATGACATTCAATCACGTCGAATTCCATACGCTCTGTTCGGAAGCATTCCTGAGCATTCCTAAGCTAGTTGACCTGAGGAAGAACTGCAAGATAGTTCAAAAATGTTTGTCACCTGCTGTATATATCTTACACGCGTTGTGGGTTGGTAACAGGTTTAGGGAAGTCAGGATTTTACTCCAGTGCTGAAATTAGGGTGAACTTTATAATTTTTACATTGAATTTACACATTAAAAGAGGATCACAAACTTTTAATAATTAAATATAAGTGAGTTGATGATATCATTTATACTCAAAACCATCATAATATATAATTTAAGAGTTTATTTTCAAAGTGATGTATCTCCATTTTTTATTTTTGTTTTAGTTCTTGGCACCAACACATTGATAATATGCTTCTCTATAGTGCTACAATATTGTTTTTTCCAAAATGGGTGTTTCTTCTGTTGAAAAATGTATCAAAAAATTGATTTTCTTTCCAAATGTGACATTTTTCATTTTATATTTATTTCCAAACTGTCACATTTCCATAACAGCCAAATTACAAAGTGTATATTGGTCACATGACTATTTCACAGTAATGACTGCTTTCTGATGCGCAAGTGCTATTGTGTTTGATTGTTTTCTTAATTTTTCTTTAATAATGGCCACATTTTCTAAAGAAGTTCAAAAAGTATTTAGTTGTTATGCTAGAAAGAGGTCATGTCCTTATTTTATAGAAATTTTCATAAGAAAAATCCAAAAATTAAGAAAATTAATTTGTTTTGTGATGGATGCAGTGCACAAACAAAAATTACACATTATTAGTAATGCTAAGTAAACTTTCAGATATATATAGTGTAATTTTTTAGATTAGAGATCCGGTGCAGGGTCACTGGATATCTAACTATATATAGGGCCTTCGGAAGAGTGGAAAAAATTTTAATAAAAACTGAACTGCTTCTTTTACCAGATGACTACAATAAAATTTTTGAGCATATAGGACATATACATGTTCTTGGTAAAGACTGGCAACTTGGTAATTGGAAACTTTCAATTCATTCACACATTAAGTCAAAAATGGATTTTAAAATCTGAAATAAAAGTAATTAGAATAAATTCTAAATATGTTTGTTGCAAACAGCACTATTATGATAGATCAGGGATGTGCAAACATATGATGTTAAGAAGAGGTAAAAAATGGTCATATCTATTAGTTGATTTGTTACTATTGGAAAATAAACTTAAGCTGGAAAAAATAGATGATGTGAAGAAACTTTTAAATAAACTGGGAATAAGTGATGGCCATACTGCAATGACATTTTACAAAAAGTGTTTTGTTGTTTAGAAAGTGACTGATTCTAAATAGGTACTGTGACAGAACAATTACAATGATTTTTATTAACTTTATGCATGCATTAAGTTTTTTTCTTTCTTTTGGAACTATTATAGTTTTTTAAACACCATTTTCTTTTTATTATCTTTAGTCATATGAACAAGGTTCGTGTGATTTTCATTTTTGTTTTGTATCGTAGTTTGTATATTCTCTTTTGTTTTTATATATTGAAAGTTTTTGACCATCTATTTGTTGTTTTTATTATCCATTATCCATTTAAATGCTGCAATTTTGTTCCAAAGTGGTGTAAGTCCATGATTTGAAGTACCAAAACTACAATTTCCTTTGCCTTAGGATTTTTTTCACTGTTAAACCTATATTCAGAATATAAAAATAAAGCTCTGTACCAATAATTTTTTATCTTAACATTTAAAGCAATTATTTAAAATTTGTATTTCCTGGAGATACCTCACTTTGGAAATAAGTTCTTCAATTCTGGTTGAAACAAATGTAAACAAGAAAAATTTGTTTTAAATATTTACTTATTTTTGAAAACTGATCTACTAAACTTTCTAAAAACTATTAAACCTTATCAATTAAAATCTGAAGTTCTCAAAGTTAAGTTTATTTTATGTTAGACAGACTTAAATAACCTAATAAATAGGGTATAACAATTTGCAGGGCTTATCAAATTGTTATACCCTACTTATTAAGTTATTTAAGTCTGTCTAATTTATAGTTGTGGGCAAAAAGCGTTGTTTATTATTTTTTTATGTTCTTTATTCATTATATACCATACATAACTTATAAAGTTTCTACTAAACAAATTAAGATGTTATATATTTCTCTGCTCATTACTCTGCCAACTTGCAGCTGATATAAAATATAGTATTCTTTACTTAATTATTTGTATTTTTATTTCCTTTAATTATAATTTTAAAATTACCTTAAAACAGGATGCTCTATATAATAATTGAACAACATGTCCAATACTAGTCTTGGATGCTTGTGGAAAATGTGGCGCTAACCGTTGAACAACAAACATAACCAAAACTTTTCTTGATAGAGCTGAACCATCTTCAAGAGCAAGAAGTACAAGTTTTAATACTTCTTCTTGCATAGCTATAAAAATGTGTTACATTCAAAAAGTGGATAGTAAATGCAAAAATAAACTATTAAAATAAAAAATTTATTACAAAATATAAAATAAAAAGAGTTAAATGATATGCCAAAACTAAAATACATCAATAAAATATCATTAACCAATTTTAATATGAAACCAAATATTTGTGAATTATACTTTGCCTAAATATAAATTTATGATTTGAATGTGCATTCAGTGACATCATACATTAATAATTTTAATAAAATAATTAAAAAATTAAACTTCACCATTTGGAGAAAGTGTCTGCTTAATGATAGAGAGAAAAACTATTCTGATAGCAAATAATAAATTATTTAAATTATTCACATCAATAAAAATATAGTCCAGTAAATATTTGATTTCATATTAAATATGCTGTTACTACATATCTGCATAACAGTTAGTTGAGCGAATACTAATGGAGAATCTATAGATAATAGATTATCTCCAGAGTAAAGTGATTTATCTATACATTGCATACTATTAGAACATTAAGCAAATTGCAACATTAAATAGTAAATGTTTAATAAAAACAAATAAAAGCACTTTTACTTAGATTTCTTCAATTAATGAAGTTTAAATTTAAATTTAGACCACATTCTTTTGGAACTTCTTTCTGATTCAATTCTAATTGAATAAGATTAATAAAACAAAAGTAATTTTGTCTAGTAAGATTACTAGACAAAAGTTCTTTGTTTAATTAAAAACTTTTAATGTTTTCACATTATAATTTGTTTATTATTCTAGATTATTGGTTAGACAAGACCTAACCTCTATAATTGTATAGTGATTCTAAAATTTTTATAAATAAATTTATAGATATTTATTTCAGAAACTGAATAATTAAATGGAAATAACTCCTCCTGGTTTATAAAAGTTGCAGATTTGCACTTATTCTAAGCAGACTCTACCTATGTTATTTCTAAATTAATTAGTCTAAGTCTAAATTATTTAATTATTAAAATTATTAATATATTATGTCTATTTACTTTAGTTATATTAAGCTTGCCAACTCCCAAAAAATTGATTCTAGGAATTTTCTATTACATTGGAGTAAAAAAATTCAGGAAATTTGACATTTTTTACTCTTAGCAATATTAAAATGTTGCCACTTACTCTTTACTCCAGTGTTTCCCAATGTGGGACCCATGCCCCATGGGGGGATTCAAAAATGGGCTCGTCCAGAGTTTAACTTAACCGTATAGCTGCTGTATATGTTAGGGAGGCATAGGAATTTTAGAAAGGATTAGGTGGGGCATAGAACAAAAAAGGTTGGGAAATACTACTTTACTCTGTTTTAATATACTGTATATTCATAAAGTTGATCATCTTGTTGAATAAATGCATGAAGAATCAAATTGGAAGTCTAAGAATTTTAAAATCTTTGCCAAATTCCTAGAATCTTCCAGCAAGTCTGGGAGAGTTGGCAACCTCAGTTATATTCAAAGCATATCTTCATTGAATGCTTTGATATGTACATAACTGAAATTTTTTTATTTCTATCTAGTCAAAATAATCCAATAAAAACTTCAGATTTAATTTTATATTGAACATCTTTAGTTGATATCTGTTATTATGTAACTAACTTTTACAGTAGAACACTGATTATCTGAATCCTGATTATCCAAACTGCCAATTACCTAATCAGTGCATTCAAGAAATATGATCTAAATCTTGCATAAGTCCCTTCCACTCACTGAATCAGTCCAAACAGTTATTCTGTTCATTCCAGTCTGTTCATCACCATCGTATCAACTATCATCATAGTAATGAATATGTTTAGTATTGTATTCTATCTGATATTCAAAATGTAAAAAAATTTATCATGTCAAATAAATAAACACATATTATACTGACAATGATAGAGATAAAGTCTCCTTTCAATATAGAAAACAAAATACTGATTAGGATTTCCAAAGTTTAATAGATCAAGAAATCATAGAAAATATTCAAAAAAGGATAACTGTAAAGAAAATTATGAACTGATTACTTCTCACAGTGAAACCTTCAACTGTTTTGAAACAGTAATGAAGTACAAAATGAATGCAATGCTTTAAGGTTTCTTCATTAAAAGGATTTATCAGCTATGAAACAAGTTTCATCTGCTAAACCAGAGGTTTCAAATATATAATTGTCCAAGTAGAGTCATCAATTCTTTTTAAAGAATCATGTAAACTCTTAACTGAAGAACAATATTTTACAAATAAACTTTTTCTAAAAAGATTCCTTACAGAAAACTCAAATCTAGTATAATAAATTTGTATGAACTGACAATATTCAGCACTGATTTAAAATGCTAATCACATTAGTAATAAATGTATCTTCTTTTACTATTAAAAAATATACCAACAGTGACTGATTTTCCCAAGCAAGTTTTCAATTGTAATTGCAGCTAATCTACAGCTATTGGCTTATTTTTGACAAGCAAACAAGAAATATACACAGCACTTGATTGGAGAAGATATGATTTCAATTAAAAAATGTCAGTGATAATGTATTTACCAATAATGTTAATGTTATTCTATATTCACTTAAATGCAAACCATTATCAATAAAAATAGCTTTTCTTCAGAAAGTGAAAGATCAAATGTACTAATTCAGAGACAGATTGAAACTATTTTTGATGGTTGTAACTTGTAAGTCACACAAACTGTAATTCATTGGGCTGCAATTTGAAAAAATTGTAGATCTATAAATTCCCACTATTGTAAGTCCATCTGTCTGTCTGTCTGTCTGTCTTTCCTTAATCTCAAGAACAGTGTTAGATAGATAAAAGACAAGACCAGATACGGAAAGCTTAAGAGTAGGAGGTCTAGATTAACAATAGACAAACTTCCATTGCAAACCAGAAGTCATGTCATTTCAATTCAAAAATTTCCTCTGAAAGGTGTTCGATAGATGACTGGCATCACTCTATTGTTAAAGGAAAATCATAATGTACAGAGGCAAGACAATTAAACTTCACCATTTGGAGAAAGTGTCTGCTTAATGATAGAGAGAAAAACTATTCTGATAGCAAATAATAAATTATTTAAATTATTCACATCAATAAAAATATAGTCCAGTAAATATTTGATTTCATATTAAATATGCTGTTACTACATATCTGCATAACAGTTAGTTGAGCGAATACTAATGGAGAATCTATAGATAATAGATTATCTCCAGAGTAAAGTGATTTATCTATACATTGCATACTATTAGAACATTAAGCAAATTGCAACATTAAATAGTAAATGTTTAATAAAAACAAATAAAAGCACTTTTACTTAGATTTCTTCAATTAATGAAGTTTAAATTTAAATTTAGACCACATTCTTTTGGAACTTCTTTCTGATTCAATTCTAATTGAATAAGATTAATAAAACAAAAGTAATTTTGTCTAGTAAGATTACTAGACAAAAGTTCTTTGTTTAATTAAAAACTTTTAATGTTTTCACATTATAATTTGTTTATTATTCTAGATTATTGGTTAGACAAGACCTAACCTCTATAATTGTATAGTGATTCTAAAATTTTTATAAATAAATTTATAGATATTTATTTCAGAAACTGAATAATTAAATGGAAATAACTCCTCCTGGTTTATAAAAGTTGCAGATTTGCACTTATTCTAAGCAGACTCTACCTATGTTAATTTCTAAATTAATTAGTCTAAGTCTAAATTATTTAATTATTAAAATTATTAATATATTATGTCTATTTACTTTAGTTATATTAAGCTTGCCAACTCCCAAAAAATTGATTCTAGGAATTTTCTATTACATTGGAGTAAAAAAATTCAGGAAATTTGACATTTTTTACTCTTAGCAATATTAAAATGTTGCCACTTACTCTTTACTCCAGTGTTTCCCAATGTGGGACCCATGCCCCATGGGGGATTCAAAAATGGGCTCGTCCAGAGTTTAACTTAACCATATAGCTGCTGTATATGTTAGGGAGGCATAGGAATTTTAGAAAGGATTAGGTGGGGCATAGAACAAAAAAGGTTGGGAAATACTACTTTACTCTGTTTTAATATACTGTATATTCATAAAGTTGATCATCTTGTTGAATAAATGCATGAAGAATCAAATTGGAAGTCTAAGAATTTTAAAATCTTTGCCAAATTCCTAGAATCTTCCAGCAAGTCTGGGAGAGTTGGCAACCTCAGTTATATTCAAAGCATATCTTCATTGAATGCTTTGATATGTACATAACTGAAATTTTTTTATTTCTATCTAGTCAAAATAATCCAATAAAAACTTCAGATTTAATTTTATATTGAACATCTTTAGTTGATATCTGTTATTATGTAACTAACTTTTACAGTAGAACACTGATTATCTGAATCCTGATTATCCAAACTGCCAATTACCTAATCAGTGCATTCAAGAAATATGATCTAAATCTTGCATAAGTCCCTTCCACTCACTGAATCAGTCCAAACAGTTATTCTGTTCATTCCAGTCTGTTCATCACCATCGTATCAACTATCATCATAGTAATGAATATGTTTAGTATTGTATTCTATCTGATATTCAAAATGTAAAAAAATTTATCATGTCAAATAAATAAACACATATTATACTGACAATGATAGAGATAAAGTCTCCTTTCAATATAGAAAACAAAATACTGATTAGGATTTCCAAAGTTTAATAGATCAAGAAATCATAGAAAATATTCAAAAAAGGATAACTGTAAAGAAAATTATGAACTGATTACTTCTCACAGTGAAACCTTCAACTGTTTTGAAACAGTAATGAAGTACAAAATGAATGCAATGCTTTAAGGTTTCTTCATTAAAAGGATTTATCAGCTATGAAACAAGTTTCATCTGCTAAACCAGAGGTTTCAAATATATAATTGTCCAAGTAGAGTCATCAATTCTTTTTAAAGAATCATGTAAACTCTTAACTGAAGAACAATATTTTACAAATAAACTTTTTCTAAAAAGATTCCTTACAGAAAACTCAAATCTAGTATAATAAATTTG